CCGTCATCACGCGTGTGCAGTCTGCACATGTGTACGACGTGCAATTCACCGACGACAGCGAAGAAATGACACACGTCCCGCGTGTGTGCATTCGATCACCAGGTCCGCTGTTGGAATGGGGGTTTGTTGATTCCTCGCGTTGTCGTGCTCATGTGTGTGTGTGTGTGTGTGTGCGTGCATGTGTTGCACGGTGGGCGCGTGTGTGCGTGGTACTACGTGTGTGTATGTGTGTGTGTGTGCATACATGTGTGTGCATGTGTGTGCGCTTGCCACATTCTCTTGTGCTTTCAATCTAACCGACATGAATCCCTTCTTGTCGTGCATTTTACAGGCGATCACACCGCCCCCAACACGTGTCTTGCGTGCCTCCTCTCTGACTTCTTCTCGTGAGTGCTCCAATGTGCGGCTGTTCCGTTGCTCATGCGTGCAGTCAGTCGTATCATGTTGTGTTCACACATGTTGGCTAACACGCTTTAGTATGCGCACACATTCACAAGCAACTGCAAGCGCGCGCGCTGCCTCTCTGCCTCTCCCACTCTAACACACACACTCACGCACACACACGCACGCACACACACACACACGCACATACACACACACACACACACGCACGCACATACACACACATACACACGCGGTGACCTCTTGCTGCTGCAGGGAAATGTACACTGGAAACCGTCAGCAGCTTGCGCCGACGAACATGCTCTATGCTGTGTGGAAGGTGCGTTCTGTTGCGCCTTCGTGTATGTGTGCGTTTGTGTGCGTGTATGCTTTTTTGTATGTGTATTGTGCGTTTGGTTGTAGCAGTGTTGACGCGTGGTTAACTCCTATCCTTCCTTGCTTGCATGGTTCTCCACACACACACACACACTCACACTTCACACGTACACACTCACTCACACTTACGCAAACTCACACGCACACTCACGCACACCCACACGCACACTCACGCACGTACACACACACGCGCGCACACACACACACACACACACACACACACACACACACACACACACACACACACACACACACACACACACACAACCCATCGCCACGACGACGACGGCAGCACCTGCGCCAACTGGCCGGGTATGCGCAGCACGACTGCCACGAGTTCTTCATCGCACTCCTCGACCGTCTTCATCGACACCTCCGCCCGCCAGACGAACGTGTGTGATGCGTTTGCGTGTTGTGATGCTCTTGAGTGGTGGAATGGTTGTGCATGTGCACGTGCACGTGCATGACACAAGGACAGGCATGTTTGCCCACACGTGTTTCCGCACATGGTTGTGTGCATGTGATCACTGTTCCTGCTCGCACACGGCTGCACCTTCTCACATGTATGTTGCGTCTTGTGCGGTGGTCAACATTAGCCATGCACCTGTTGTCGAAGCAGCCCTCTGTCGTGCGATCCGTGTTCACGGGCCTCATGCAGAGCGATGTGATCTGTAGGCGCTGCGACAATGTCTCGTCCACACACGAGCCCTTTTACGACATCTCACTCGGCATCAGGTCATGCACGTGTTCGTTTGTTAGTTGTGTTTGGTTGGTTGGTTGTTCCTTTGTTTGCTTGTTAGCTGGTTGTGTTTGTTTGTCTTGCTTATTAGTTGGTTGGTTATTTGTTTACCTTGCCTTGTATTTTCTGCGTTATGTGGTTGTTTGTGTGCTGTGTGGTTTTGTTTGTGTGATTTTGTTTGTCCATGCTGTTGGATGTGTGTTGCTCTGCGCATGTGCTCACGGTATGTTCCCCTGGTGCATGATAACATCAACACCGTAGACCTTCAACCCACGATTCGCCAACCGTGAGTCAGCTGTTCAAGTGCGCATGCATGTCAGCACGGTCTCTCATTCTTTCTTGTTATTGAAGTTATTTTCGCCAAGCCCCATTTCATCTCACTCACCTCTTCCATTTCCTCTCTCTCTCTCCCTCTCTCACACACACACACACACATACATCCCTCCACATCCACACATGCTGACGCCACTCCCACTCACGCCCTCCATGCTTCTGATTGTGTGTGTGTGTGTGACTAGTCGCTGGTGTCGCTGCGTGGATGCCTCGCGCGCTACACGTCGCCAGAGGATTTGGGATCCGATGCCCGCGTGTTTTGCCCCCGCTGCCAAGCGCGCCAGCTCGCACAGAAGCGCGTACGTCTTGCATGCGCTTCTTGTGTGGCGTTGTTGTGTTGTGTTGTGTTGTGTTGCGTTGCGTTGTGTTGTGCTGTGTTGTGTTGCGTTGTGTTGTTGGTTTGGGTCAGAGTGGCTTTGGCTTGTGTGTATGTGTGTTCACTGTTTAGTTGCCATGCTTCGTTGTACATTGTGCAATTGGCTCCCCCGCGGCTTGCCCGTCTCTGTCTTCTCATTTGCACGTGTCCATGCACAGCTGATGATTGCGCAACCGCCGAAGACGCTGACATTCCATCTGAAACGCTTTGAGCACATTCCTCGCCTGCAGAAGATTACAACTTTTGTCGAGTGCGTTGTGGCTTGACCGTTGCTTTACCCCCCCCCCCTCCTCCACGCAGACATTCTGTTGTGCGTGGTGCATGCGCCTGTTTATGACATTTCTTTGCATGTTCAGCCGCTCACATGCATCTCCGAATGCACCTGCGTTCGTGCAATATGTGCGTGTGTGCTTGTGTGTCCCCTATGTGCGTCAGGTTTCCTACATCGATCGACATGCGTCCGTATCTGGTGCAGAGTGGAGGCGGTGCACACACGGCCGCAATGGCCCACAGCGCCCATGCTCCCATCATGTACTCGCTGTACTGTGTGGTTGTGCACATTGGCAAGATTGAGTCTGGTCACTACATCTGCTACATTCGCCTCAATCACCCGGTGCGCCACCCGTGTCTTATTGTGTGTGTGTGTGTGTGTGTGTGTGTGTGTGTGTGTGTGTGTGTGTGTGTGTGTGTGTGTGTGTGTGTCGGTCGGTCGTGTCGTGTGTTAGCCTTCGCCGAAGCAACGTATACAGGTCACTTCTAGTAAATGTCTGAAGGGGGGCACCCCTTGTATCGACACGCATTGCATTACATGACGGAGGCCTTCGGTATCGCGGCTGGAGAGACATTGATGAAACCTCGCGTATTGGTGGCGCAGGGTTAGCGTAAGCGGATTCATTTCTAATGGGGCCCCGACAGCAAGGGGTCACTCATTACGTACTTGCGTCATTTCTGTTGCACGTTCGCTGACTGCAACACACGCACACACACACACACACACACACACACACACACACACACACACACACACACACACACCAACCACAGCACGAGCAGTGGGTTTGCTGTGACGACGACACGCTGACGCCCGTGACGGCGGCGGAGGTGCTGAGCAAACCGGCGTACATGCTGCTCTACATGAAGGACGAGCTCTGAAATCGCGGGTGCAGCTCTTTCCTCTCACTTGTGGGCCAGCGCGTACGCGTTGGCGCTCATGTAACCAACACTCGGCTTCATTCATTAACGAATCACCTCCAACGCACACACATGTGCGTACATGTGTGTCTGTGATTGCCAGCATTGCTCGCACGCGTGATTGCACGTGTGCAGGTGCTGTGATCCTACTTTGTCGTTGTATCTATGAAACTTGTATTGCGTACGTGTGTGTGTACGTGTGTGTTCTTAATCTGCCCCTGGTGATTTTCATCATCACTGACTCCTAACTGTTGTTGCTCGCACGATAGAGAATAAATTATCAAAACACTGCCAGCTGCGCGCGCGCGTGTGTGAGTGCGTGAGCGTGTGTGCGTGCGTGAGCGTGTGTGAGTGTGTGTGTGTGCGTGTGTGTGTGCGTGCGTGTGCGTGAGTGAGTGTGTGTGTGTGTGTGTGTGTGTGTGTGAGTGTATGTGCATCATTCTCGTCATCACATAGTTTCTTTGTTGTTGTTCTATTAACGGTTGAGGGTTGGTGTGTGGTTGTGGTCGAGCCGGCAGCAACCGTGCGACAACTGCTTGGGAGTGAGAGGCAGGCACCGCGATTGAGCGGGTCAATTGGAGAGAATGTGCGGAGGAGAGACGGTAACGCAACAAATGTGGCAACAGGATAACGAGGAGCCACCAACGAGAGGCAAGAACGGGAAGCAAGAGGTGGAGCAAATAGCGGACCAGACAACGGGTGACGCAAAGGTCACGAGCAAGGGCGCGTGTAAACGAACGGAGGAGGACAAAGATGGGTGTTTAGGGTATGGAATGGGAAAAAAAAAGTCAGGAGGAGACAAACGGAAAAAGGGGACGGGGGGATGTTGGGGCGGCACGCACCTACGTGTCGCACGTCTTGCGCATCAGCATGCAAGCAGAAGAGCTGCACGATCACAGCATGCGAGTGCGCATGAGGACGAAGTGCTTGGATTAAATGTTGGACACTTTTGCGTTGTACGGCTCGTTGTCAAACTGGCCCAGGTGCACGGGCTCTTCGGAGAATGGCGCCTGCGAGATGGATGTCTTGCGCTCTGCGTTCTGTTTGTGCAGAACACGGCGCGCAAAGCCATCCGCAACAATGGTGACGATGACAAAAGTCGTGGCAAAGCCGACGAACCAGACGCGTCGGTTGTCGCCTGTGACCTCATGCAGGACTTCGATGCCAACGAGGACGTTGATGACGCCAAGAGCAACAGCGACACGGCCAGAGAGCCAGTGCACGGTCTCCCACACGGTCCTGGTGGTGCCGCCGTTGGGCTTTGGGCGAACAGCGGCGTTGACGAGCTGCCAGTACGCGAGGATCATGACCACGATGCCGAGCGTGCGGTGGTGGTAGGTGGAGCCGCGCCCGGAGTCTGAGAACTTGCTGAGGGCGAAGAAGAAGCCGACGGTGGCAAGCAGCATGCCAACTGCCTGGCACATGACGTGGGCGTGGAACCACACGTGCCGCTTCTCCTCGGGGCAGATCTTTGTGATGCGGGCGAAGATGGGACCAGCGGGCAGGAAGACAGCCCAGCCCAAGCCCATGAGCACGCCATGCACGTAGCGGTCGTTGGTGAGGGAGTCTGCGCCACCGCTGGACTGGGAGCCGCTGGCAAGGTTCACCTGTGAAGAGGAGGAAATGGAGGTGACGAGAGAGAGAGTTGGGGTTGGGAGCGGGGCAGTGTTGGCGCGTGAATGAGTTGAGACGAGGAGACACACACACACACACACACACACACACACACACAGATAGACACACACACACAGACAGATAGACACACACACACACACACAGACACAGACACAGACAGATAGACACACACACACACACGCAAGACAGACAAGACATGCATGAGTTGCACGACAGTCACGAGGAGCAACGAACCGCAAAGAACCCGCGGTCTGCGCCGTGGTATGCGAGCGTGTCGTCCTCTCCGCGCGCCCAGATGAAGTTGACATCGCTGCTCAGATCTACGACAGAGTAGGAGTTGTTGATTGGCCGCGAAAAGGCGAGGATGGCAGTGGTGCCGTCACGCGTGAACGACGCGTTGTAGATGCGATCAGGGGCAGGCACGATGCCCTGGGTCGGTGGTGGTGATGACGGTGGTGGTGGAAATGGCGATTTGGGCCGAGGGTTAAGGGGACGTGAGATGGAGAAGGAATGGTGTGAGGATTGTCAGTATTCGCAAGAGAGGAGGGGGAGGGGAGGGGCAAGCGGGTAAACAACAGTGAGTGCAATGGAGAGGTAGACATGCAGGCAAGTACAGAAGCACACACAAACAAGCACACACACACACACACACACACACACACACACACACACAAACAAGCACACACACACACACACACAAACAAGCACACACACACACACACACACACACACACACACACACAAGCGTACAGCTCTGTTCCGCTCGCGGAGGGTATATGCGTTTGGGATCATGGTGTCGGATGCAATGACGGCGTCTGCGCCGAGCATAAACTCGGGGACCTCAGGAATGGCGAGGCCAACCCAGCCCGCGCTGTTGCGGAACTCGCCGACAAACGACACGTCCTCCGCAACCACCTTCCAGTGCAGCTAGTGTTGGCGCGCGTGGGCACAAGGAAGGCGAGAGGGGGGAGGGGGTGTAAATGTGACGAAAAACATCGTGCGCATGTACGAGTACAAGCGAGCAGAGCAAGATGAAGGCAGATATACAGACACAGACAGACAGACAGACAGACAGACAACACACTCACACAGACACATAGACGCACAGACACAGACACAGACACACACACACACACGAGCGCGCACCGTGAAATCGGTTGAAAGTTGTGCCATGCATGTTGCATCATCACGTGGTGAGGGATCACAGTTGTCGCCGGTGGATGTGTCTGGATCCGTGTCTTCGGCCGATCGCAGATCAACGAGGCCAAAGAGCGCATTGAAGGCTTCGCACCACCCCGCAATGACGTTGACGTCGTCCCACGTCACGCCATCGAGGGTGATGACGCGCGTGACGCCGCCATTGGGCGCGCCCTGCACGCGCTGGGAGTTGAGGCGGAAACCACGACGGAGATCAGACTGCGACTTTCCTGTCGATCCCCACCAGTACACGGCGGGGGCGAGGCCATCGTACCGAAACTCTTCCACCTGAGGCGCACACAGCAAAAGGCATACACACGCGTAGAGGGGGGGGGAGATGTGTTGAGTTGATACAAAGACGCAACACGATTTTCGATGTTGTTGATGCTGTTGTTGTGCATGAGACTGGTGGTAAAAGCGAGCACACGAAGGCAAGTCGTGTGAGTGTGTGTGTGCGTGTGCGTGCGTGTGTGTATGTGAGTGTGTATGTGTGTGAGTGTGTGAGTGTGTGTGTGTGTGAGTGTGTGAGTGTGTCGCACCATGAAGGAGCAGTCGTCGATGACGGTGACGCGGCCACGCCATCTGTGCTGCAGCTCAGAGAACTCAGCCGTCCTGCCAACAAAGTCGTGCGTGCGCGGGCATGCTGATGTTGCCATTTCGTCGTCATCATCGCCATTGTCATCATCACCGCCAACCATGGGCCGCTCATCTGTTCCCTCAACAGAGATGCGCCAGCCGAGTTTCTGGTGGATCCAGCACTGGTAGTACACGGTGTCTGGTGTGTTGTCGTCGGGGGTCCACTTAAGGACGTATGGAGAGTCCCCTGTGCCCCACGCATCCGCACTGCATCACGTGTTATTGCAAGGGGGAATGGGGTGATTGTAGACGGAGAGAGGTGAGGCAAAAGGCGGGGGGGGGGGGAAGAGAGAATAGGCGACGGAGGAAGATACAAGAGGGGGTTGGTTGGTTGGTGAGTGGCGATAAAACAATACAGCAGACAAGAAGAAGAGGAGCGGAAGTAAGGGGAAACGACATGGGGTCTCAGCAGTGTATTCACAGGCAGGCAGATAGACAGACACTACACACATACTACACACGCGCACGCACACACACACACACACACACACCTGCCGGCGTAGACAGTCTCCATGTCTGCGTTTGCACGGCCGCCAATGATGTCGTTGGTGATGTACAAGGGATGCTGGCTCGTGGCTTTGATGGTGAATGTGTACTCAACACCACGGAACACACGCAGCAGTGGGCTCTGTGCAGGAGGGACGGGGGAGAGGAAAGCGATAGCATATCAGCGTGAGCAAGCGTACGTGTGTGTGTGTGTTTGGGTTGAAGGGGGGGGGGTGTTCTGACGCCATCTTCAGGGTGTTGGGCAGCAGGGCACTAGGCGACGAACAGCTGTAGGCACACACAGACACAGAAAGACACAAAGACAGACACAGACACAGAAAGACACAAAGACAGACACAGACACAGACAGACACAGACACAGACACAGACACACACACACACACACAGACACACACACAGGGCATGAATAGATGATCACCTCCATGCCGTTGATCCAGTAGGAGATGCCCCATGCGGGTGGGTTCGGATAGTTGAGGTTGGTGCCTGTGGTGACAACAAACTCAGTCTCGTCGCCAATTGTGGTCACACCGCACGACCCGCCGCCGGAGGAGCTGCCGGATCCCATGTCCGCTTGAAGGAGCGCTGGTGTCATCGCAACGGAACGTGTGCAGCATGGGCAACGTCAGTAACATGAGGAAGGGACAGTGGTGGGAGAGGTGGTAATCTGGTGACGGAGTATTCAGCAAGAAGCAAAGGCCAATGCTCAAGACCTTCAAATGTTGCTGGATAAGCTCAGCCCAACACACGCAGACACACATACATGCACGCCTAGCTCAACACAGCAGCACACAGCAAGACATATGCACGCAGGCACGCAACGGGACGTGCACCCACCGCATGTCTGCTGGGACTGCGAGAGGTTGATGGTGAAGCCGTCTGGCGCGTGCTGCGTGGCGCCGTGATAGAGAACAATGGGGAGCTCCGCTGTTGACGCCTCGCCGAGTGGCCCATATGCGAACACATACGCGCGCTCAGACATGCTGAACACGTGGTCGTAGTCCGTATCCCCTGATGACGCGAGAGGTGGTGCGTGTGTGATGTTTGAGTTGGCGGTGCGCATGTACACGTGAGCGATGAAGAATGAGATCAGGTGCAAGGCGAATGCTTGGAGCACAACACACAGCGCTGTTTCCCACAGCCCACACTGCATTCAACCACCACCACCACTACAACCACAAACCACAACCACAACCACAACCATCACCACCACCACGTAAACAGCAATCATGGCACCACCACTTTCAGGATCGTGACTGTGCACCTGTGTCGATCTGGCGAGACCAGGCGACGAATGAGACGCCGTTCTCGCGTTGGGCGTACACGAGGTTGACGTTGTTATCGGATGAGTCGCCGAGGAGGCGGTCGGGGCACACGCCCGCAGACCCGCCGCCCGCATAGTCGCACTGGAACCGGCCTGGCGATGGGGGATGGCGGTGGTGACGCATGTGAGTGCGCGTGAGGGGGCACGTGCGTGCGCGCATGCATGTGTTCACTTGCATGGGTATGATTACCAAGCACGCTTGGTGTGTGTGTGTGTGTGTGTGTGTGTGTGTGTGTGTGTGTGTGTGTGTGTGTGTGTGTGTGTGTGTGCGTGTGTGTGTGTGTGTGTGCGCGCCCGACCTGTAAGGTAGTAGTCCTCAACAAACGGTTCGCCGCCAACAAAGCCGACAACGGTGACATCTGAGCCGGGCATGAGCACGCGGTCAGTTGGCTCAGGAATGCCAAACGCCATCCATTCCGTGTCTGAGATTGCGCCTTCAAGTGCAAACGTGATGGTGTCGCCGTCAACGTCCCACAGGAGGTTCAACTTGTCCTCCTGCAAAGTGATGCAGTTGGAGAAGGACGGGGCCTGATTGCCAGTCGTGGTGGTGGTTGCAGTTGTTGTAGTTGTAGTTGTAGTGGTGGTGGTTGTAGTCGTTGTTGTTGTCGTCGTTGTAGTTGTAGTAGACGTAGTAGTGGTGGTTGTGGTGGTGGTCGTAGTGGTAGTGGTTGTGGTGACTGTCGTGGCAATGGGGGTTGTTGTTATGGTCGCGTTTGTTCCATTGACTGGCATGGTGGCATTGGTGCCATTAAGGGGTGTGGTTGTGCCATTCAGGGGTGTGGTTGTCGAAGCGTTGAGAGCTGGCATGGGGGTACCTGTCGTCGTTGTGGTTGTAGTTGTGGTAGAGGTAGTGGTCGTGGTCGTAGTTGTGGTAGTGGTAGTCATGGTCGTGGTCGTGGTCGTGGTAGTGGTAGTGGTAGTGGTAGTGGTTGTTGTCGTGGTTGTGGTTGTTGTTGTGGTAGTGGCTTCAGGAAGGACGATGTGGCCAAAGTTTGCCTTGAACGGCTCGCAGAAACCGGAGACGACGGGGATGTCGTCCCACGTGAGCGAGTCCTTGATGGTGACGGTGAGCGTGGTGAAGCCGTTCCCTGCAGGGATTTCCTGCGCGTTCTTCTCGATGCGAAATGTGTTCTGGCGGGCGAGGAGGTCTGATTCGGACGGTGCCGAGGTCCAATACACGGCGGGACCGTTGCCATCATAGCGGAAGTTGGTCACGCGGAACGTGCAGTCGTCAACAATCTCAAAGTCGCCTTTCCACTGGTGAGCGTACTGCGTGAACGAGCCCGTGAACCCGACAGATGGGTGGTTCGAAGTGCATGCTGCTTTGACCGCGGTTGGTGGCACAGCCAGCAGCAGCAAGGTAGCCATAAGGGCAAGAGCGCCAAGCATCACCGCACCGAGGGGTGCCCTCCGGTGGCGCGGTGTTGCGGGCTGTCCAGTAC